ATACTTATACTATATCATTAAGCATTTGATAAAAACTTTTAAAAACTATTTTTTTATGCATGAAATACTATTTATTAATGCATATTACTTAAAATTTAATATTACAAGTAAATTGTACGTAAGTACAACTTATTAAAACTTTTATTTTTAAATTCGTATAACTAATTGCRGATAAATATAATCAAATGTAGGATAAACATATCATTTTAAATATAAAAAATCTTAAAATATAATTAGGATAATCATTGAGTTCTAACAGAATCATTATCTTTATAAAAATTATATTGTTAAGTCAAAAATAAATTATTTTCTTATTAGACCTATATTAAGTTATAATAAAAAATTGAATTAAAGAAATTATACAAAAAAAGAGTTTTTAAATAATTAATTTGATATTATATCGATAACTTTTTCAAATTTTTATGACATCTTCATATTTATTTTTACTCAAAAGTAAAAACATTGTTTTTTTTCAAAACCACATAAACTGTATTATATCAATAGAGACAAAAAACGAAATACTAAAATGAAGATATATTTCGCTGCATTGCGTGAGTACCCTTCTAGTGTGTGTGTGTATATATATATATATATATATATGTGTGTGTGTGTGTGTGTATGTATGTATAAAATAAAGAAGAAATGAAGATTCATAAGAAAATGTTGTTAAAATACGAGAACTCCATGAAAAACTATAACAATACGGATGTCAAATTACAAAGAATAAAATACTTGTTTTTTTTGTATACTTTGTTTGACTCCAATTTTTTTGTATTTCATCGATTTCCGATTAAATATAAACCGACATAAATACGTGAAACGATACCTTAAGATAAAAATTCCGACGGTTCTCAATAGGCGTTCTCATTTGATTATTTCCATATATGTAGTTGAAACATGACCACATGATCTGGAAAGTCAAAGCAATAAAAGTCAAATTCATTATCAAATCCAATTATCATTTACAAGTGGTCTGCTATGTAAATCCAAGCTCTTATATGGCAACACATATCTGCTTGCCGGAAATGGACACAAGCAAACCTAGAGGGTTGTCTAGAAAGGTTAGACTTTTACAAGTGTATTATCACTTAACAAAAGGAATCCCAGAAGGTACCCGTTGAGCATAGGCCTCATGTTGCGACCCAAAAAACTGTTTCAAGAAAAACTCCTCGTACGGGATTCTTGCGTGGAAGAAGTCCCAAACGATTACTGCGAATGCAACGGTTGAGATAGGGTTACAAAGCATTACCTGAGTGCCTACAGACCAGATCAAGAAACCAGTGTACCCCGGATGACGGACTATGCCATAAACACCATAAGTAATCAACTGATGATCATCCTCGTGATATCTCTGAACGAAATGAGTAAAAGCCCGTCCAGCAGTAAGAATAGCGAGCTTCCTTGTAGTTTCGCCAAGAACCACCATCGTAAGTCCCAAGTTGCTAATAGTCCAATTATCCTTCAACGTGGGGAAAAAATACAGTTCAACCAGATATTCTAGCACCGCGAAGATCATTGCAAAGACATAGTCTCTAGTGATCAAAAGAGACTCGATAGTCACTTTGGACTTCCCGTGACAAGCCATTGCTAAAAGGTATTCAGAAACATGAAAGAAGAGTACTGCATAGAACATTTGTGATAATTGTCTCTGACCAGATTCACTGAATAGTTCTGTCATTTCTTTCAAACGGGTTAACAATTCTTCGAACAGGATCAAAGGGTTGAACCAAAGGCTCTCCCGGAATTCAATTAAGTTATACAGTGGGTTAACTTCAGACCTGAAATGGATATAGAGCTTTGCATCACTGACTATATAGTTTTAGAGTCTTCACTTTCTGTAAATAAACACATTTTCCTGATAACAAGCCTAAGAATGCAGAACTCTTCTATTAAGCATGAGGGATCAATCTTGTTTTTTTGGAAGTGTATAAATATTTACATACGGCAAATGCAACAAAAGAACTCACACCCCCTCCTCGCTATTGGTGAAGATTGAACCCTAACCTCCTAGGAGGCCAAAGGCGCTGAAACCGCTAGGCCAAAGGCCCTTTGGTAGGGATCAATCTTCTTAATCCGGCTTTTGCTGTACCAAAACCCCTAACCGCTCAATGTGCATCTCAATCATATGAAACAAACAACATGAAAATAATCTATCATTTACCATAAATAAAAGTGAACTAAATCTCCCCCTTCCACACAGAGACACAAAGAGGATAGTTGCCAATGGGTTTGCAGTCACACAACCCTGTACTCATATGACTACGATTATTGCAAATAGGAAGGAATACACATAAATGGTACCAAAAACCTCTCAACTTAGCATCAAAATGGAAGAGCATGAAGATACAATCTATAATATCCCATTACAAATGGTAATGGAGCTCAAATAACAGGTGCAAGGCATTTATGTTTGTTTTTCCTTGACTGAGAAGATCGAATCAGCATAATCAATTTGCTTCATCCTCAAACTTCTTTTTCTGAAAAAGAAGCATAAACATAAACTCCGTCGCGAAACCAGGAATCTTCAGGGGTGGAAACCAGTTGAATTTTTTTTTTTTTTTTTTTTTGCACGAACAATGACTGTGAAATCATCAAATGTAAACATCACAAAGAGTATAGTTCGGAATTCGTAATTCTACACAAACACAAACGCACATGTCCCTGATTCGTAACACCGGAACCTAATTTAAACATTTGATCTGCACAAATGCTAGAAAATGAGAACAGGTACAGAAAGATCAAACACAACCAACGCTCTTATGACTAAACCAAATGCAGATGTTATTCTGTAATCAAACAAACAATTATACACGCAATTCGCGTTACGAAAAAGGAAGAAAAAACTTACGTAAAAGGACGTCAGATCGGGAAAAATGTGAAGAGATCCAGTTAAACGCTGAGAAGAATGGTGAAGGCGTCGCCGCTTCTCCGAGTATAGGCCGATAAGAGACTGACGCGCCACCGTGGCTGGCGTCCGTGGAGAGAGAGAGAGGGTGCATGAGGTGGTGAAACCGTGAAATTAGATTCCGGAGAAAGGTAAATTCAGTTTGTCATATTTACAAAAGAGACCCTCAAAGTTCTATAAATGCAATTAAAGCTCCCATTTTCAAGAAAATGTTGCACATGAAAACCGTTTAAGGCGTTAAAAAATCATTCAACTTTCAAAAACCGTTATAAAAGTCATTTAACTTTAATTATAAAGGTCAAAAACATAAACGGTTTATTGGTCAAAATTACTCAAAAATTAATTCATGCTTTTCATATGCATATATTTCAATCTATTCACATCTCTATATAACTCATTCGTATATATGTTCAGTAACTGTGAACATATATATGTAAATTGAGAAAATTAACTGAATGTGATATACGTAAAAAATATAAATAAGTTGTATCAAATGGATGATGATTAAAAGAAAATTAAAAGTAGAGAAATAACAGATTCAAGGTTAGAAAAATATTTTAATATATCAAAATATCAACCCGACCAACCCGTACGGATTGGGTTGGGTTGGGTTGGGTTGCACTTTGGTTTGGGTTAGGTTGGGTTAAGATTTTTCCAAACCACAAGCATGGGGTTGGGTTGTTCAAATATCTTCAACTCGATCAACCCAACCCATGAACACCCTAATAGGGACCATCGATGAAATTCACTCTGATTTTAATATATAGTAGTTATCAAACAAATGAAAATGTGGGGGCCGTTCAAGAGTTATGGACGGGTCCATTATTATAATAAAAAAATCGGTTCAGAGGTTTATGAAATACGTAGAAAAGAGAAAAACGACGTAATGGAAAGGAAAGCTGATATTTTCAGTGTCAGAGTCATGGATCTATAAAACATGTTCATGATTGTGAATATTCTTATACCATGATAAAATCTTCAACATATATTGTTATAAATATTGTCAAATGAAATGTTATATATTTATTTATCAAATTATAAGAATCAACATTATCTATGTTATATATATTAGTTTTGTACCTGTTGAAATGCAGTTAAATATAAAACTTTCTTGTTAATAAAAAATTATTTATTTAATTTAAATTATGGCGTTGTTTGCAAGTAAAATGATATTTTGATAACTAAATGAGAAATACGAAAGTTGAAGCCTATAAACTCATCCATCAAATAAGGGGGGTTTTTTCTTTAAGAAATAGTCGTTTTTAAATCTCAAAAGAATTTGAGGGCATTGTTTTGACAACTTCAGTCTTCATCCGATCTTTAAAAGATCAACGGTATTTGTAAACATTAAAAAGACTAATCCAACATTTTGTTAAAGAGATTAATCCAGCATTTTAACAACTTCAGTCTTCATCCCATTTTGGCTAATCCAGATGGGATGAAGACTGAATTTGTCAAAAGAAATACCTCAAATTCTTTTGAGATTTAAAGATGAATTATTTCTTCAAAAAAAACCCCTATTGATGGATGGTTTTAATAGGTTTCAACCTTCGTATTTGTCATTTAATTAACAAAATATCATTTTACTTGCAAACAATATCATAACTTAAAAGATAGAGCATTTTATAAATAATTAGTTAATTTTTTATTTACAAGAAAGTTTTATATTTAGCTGCATTGCAGTGGATACAAAACTAGTTTTTTTTAGAATCTTATATAATTCAAATCCCGAGCATGGGAAATGAATTGATCGAATGCAATTTTGTGTTTTATCATTGTTCATATTGATCGATCAATCAATGAGCCGTTACACAAAGACAAAGAATTTGGTAACTTTTGTGGAACGCTCTAAACGTCAAACGTAGTACGACACAACTTATAAAAGTTAAAATAACTCTTACATTTTCGTTTTGTGGAATTTTCCATGATCTAAATACGTTAAATATAACATTAGGGCGATTGACGTGATGGTATCTCAGTTAGAGAAATACTTGGATCCACATGGTAACAGTTGCATTATCGAAGTAACCAAACGACAACCCTAATTGGATAGCCAACTTCATTACGTAGTTTGAGTTAACTCGACACCATAACTTCAAATCGATATGTTTTTACCAATTTATGATTGTGTCAAATCTGTGAAGTTCTTCGATGATGTACAATACTTTTCACTGTATCGTTTTAATATGGAATTTCCTTCTGTCATAATAAGAGTGTCATATCTTTTACATTTTATCTTCCTTTATCCACTAGATAAAATTGTTATGTCGTAATTTTGTCAATCTATGGTTATAGTTGATGATTACTTCGACTACAAATTCCAGAACCGAAGACCCCACTTGAGAACCGTCGTCTTTTGAACCACTTGAGACCCGGAATTGCACGAGACCGTTTTTAATATCGAAAAGAATAAAAATTATCACCCAAAATATGACTGAACACAAATTGTATCGAAATCATTATGTAAACTTTATACAACCGATCAAAATCCAATAGGTGATTGAATCGTACATTCATATATGTTTTATCCGTTGGATATTACTCTTGAAACATCTCTAATGGAGGTTCTTATAAGAACTCGTTTTTTGCACTTTTTCTTGCCAAGCCATTTTCATTTCATCAAATTAATAACCGACATAAAACTCTACAAAGAAAATTCTTAAAAGAACCCATTTTGTGAATACCATGTATAATGTATGTAAAATAAAATAAATCATATTAATTATTATATTGGATAAAAAAGTCAAGAAAATATATTTAAAAACTTGCAAATTGTCACTTCACACCAACTTCAAGGTAAAAAACAAAGTTCTTGTATGTGAGATTCTTATAAGAATTCTCTACAATGTCAGGTACTTATACGAACCTTGCATTAGAGATGCTCTTAGTTATTCATTCGATCGGATTTGATCCAACCGATTAATCTACCATTTCAACCAATAATTCATATATTTTCCTTGACTTTATAAAGGCACTACATACAAATATCAAATAAAAAATACTAACATTATTTATTATATAAACTTATTATTTGGATGGTAAATTGGATGGGATTCCATACTTTCATCAAACCGATTCAATTTGGATGTTAAAACTTTGGATCCGATACAACTGCAACTGGATAGCTAATTATGGTTCGTTTTTTTTAATTAAACCAGTCAGTTCTAATTAAATCAGATGACTCTTATGCCTGCCACTAACATGTCAGGCCCCTTGTCTTAGACTTGAAGGGAAGGGCCTAATCTATGGTTGGCAAGAAAAGATGGGAGATGGAAGGTTTATGGGATAATTAGATAAAATAGTACCTCATGGGATCTTATAAAAAACACTTGGGTCTGGAATGATGCAGCAGAGAATATTTACACATGCCCATCACTTTTTCAAGTAATTAGAATCTTTTGGGTAATTATAAGATTTCTAAGACAAGACAGTAAAAAAAGACAGATTGTACTACCACTCGTGCCTTTACCTTTCTAATGGATTAGATTCACCAAAACAAAATGGGCAACACATCATGAAAGATTCGTCGAATCGCTTTCTAAAAATAAGTTCGATGGAAGGGTCCCTACATGTATACAGGTTTAATCATATGTCTAACAGAAAGATGAAAGGGTTCCTACCTATATACAGGTTTGATGATTTGTGTCTAACAAAGAGATGAAAGGTTTATAACCACAAGAATGGTGTCTGATTGGTTTGAGCTTGGCTCCAAAGGTCAAAGGTACCAGGAAATCTCAGGTTTAAATCCAAGGAGGAATAAAAATCTCCTTGTGGCCACGGAGGTTCAAATGCGTTGACTCCGGGCCATCTGCAAGACAGGTGGTCACCTGGGATTAGTCGGCTCGTAAAGTGGGTTGGATATTCAAGTTAATCAAAAAAAAGGTTCCTACATATATATACAGGTTTGATGATTTGTGTCTAACACGGAGATGAAATGCTCCTATATATATACAGGTTTGATTATGTCTCAAATAGAGAGATGAAAGGTTCCTACATACATATGTTTGATAATCTGTGTCTAACAGAGAAATGGAAGGTTCCTACCTATGTACAGGTTTGATGATATGTGTCTATCTAAAAGATGAATACAGGTTTGATGATATGTGTCTATCTGAGAGGTGAAAGGTTCCTACATAATTACAGGTTTGATGATATGCAATTTAACTAATATAGGACTCCAACAACAGAAAACAGGAACTGCCATCTACCATCTCTATCACTCTAAAAGGGACTATTTTTTTGGAACCAAAGTCGAGACCTTATTATGAACAACTTTCAACAAATGAGGGACTATAATCATATCATCATTATCTATTCCAATTCCCAAATACAACAGACTTCAATGTAGAACTGAAACAATTCTTTTCGATTTTTGAAGTTAAAAAGCGACTCGTTTGAAAAAATCCGAATGCACCTTTTGTAACCAATGAAATATCAGGTTCCTTGCATTCTTCACAAGTAATTCTTTTCCCAACCCACACAAAGCCAATGAGCCTTGGTGTGTTGGGATCGAAAACCTTTAATGATGATAAAAAGAAACTACGAGATCCTTACTAAAAACAAATCAATAAAGAAAATAATGAACAAACTATACATCAATAAACCAAACCAACAAACCCAATACCTCATATAGGCAAGTGGGGTATAGGGATAAGATGTATACAGACTAGACCTCTACCAAAAGGTGGAGTGGTTGTTCCCATGAAGACCCCCGGCTACTGACCAAACTATACATCAATAAACCAAACAAAACCAACGAATCCAGTATATCACATCCGCAGGTGCAGTACGTGGGTAAGATGTCCACAGACCTGATCTCTACCCTAAAGGTAGAGCAATTGTTTCCAGTGAAGACCACCAGCGGCAGCTAGTTTACCAATTCATCGATCAATATTTTTACAAAATTATGCATGTGTAACAATATATGGCCTTAACTCATAAGTTCTCATTTTCAAAGAGCAACAATGGAGTGCCACTTGCGCATTTAGAAGCCATAGCCAACAAAATTTGCATTGCAAGAATCCTACAGCTAATTTACTCCATGTGGGTATGTGACAAAATTAAACACAGAAAAACTTAAGCTTCTATTATTGCCATCACTGAAAGAGAGCATCAAGCACAAGACAAGTAACATTATGCCATGCTTTTGTGCAGATAACAAGAAAACAAATTAATAGGCTCTACAGATTTATGCTACTTCTGAGAAAGTTTTAAGAGTACCTAAAAGTTCAGTTCAGCTGCAAACCATTGGTGGCCATAGATGGAGACAAGTTTCTTCCCCTTCCTTTTCCAGATTTACTCTTCCTAGAGTTCCTAAATGGTGTCAAATACAGCCTCAGCAAACCACTATCCAGATCACTTGTCGAATACCTTGAGCTCCTGGTCCTATCCAACACAAACTCATCCCTATTCTTCTTACCACCCTCTCTGCCACTTTGATGTAGTTCACTTCTGTTTCTTGAATTCACAGAACTGGCGTTTCGAACAAGCTTCCCACTCGAATTCCCTCTTTCAACTCCATCAATCTCATTGTTTCGATTAGCAAAAGCTCCTGTTTCTGGGTTTACTGTGATATCTTCACCATCCTTTTTGCTGCTAAGTTTATACTTGTGACCCCATAGATTACAGACCTTTCTCCACCTACTTGCCATTGCTTTTTTATGCCCATTTGATGCAATGACTGTTGTACTAGAGGAAATGGGTGGATTTGAAACAGATTCAATGTTGCTGTTCTTGATAGAATTCATATGCCAATCTTTCAATTCCCTTTCAGTAATAACCAACTTCGTTCCTTGGAATATAACATCATTTGCAGGTGATACCTTGGCATATGAAGCAGATTTTAGATCATCACCTCCCAATCCTGCTGTTTTGGTACTGCAACTCTTCATTGAACTTGAACTGCTTCCTTTGGATGTAGAAGAATCCGAGTTAGACTGAGCTGACCCACCAGAACTAGCTCCGTCTTCACTTATTGAATGCATTTGCAGGTTTTCCATGGCGGCCCCCCTGTTTACAGGAGCCAACATCATGTTGTCAACAATGGAGAGCATTGGTGTAAGCCGAGGAATTGTTCTTGCAATCATGTATCCATCCCAAGAGGCCCGATGTTCATCAAACGAAAATCGTGGATCTTCAACAGACATTCGATGGGCATCGACTGAAAACCGTGGTTCCGTATCGCAAGATCTTCGACCAAATCCGTAATCTGCTACCTCAGATTGCGTATCCCTGAATTGCCCTAAATTTGACCTAGCAGTGTCAATTCCCCCATTACAGCCTCTGGTTTGCTTCTTTTCCTTCTGTTTTTGTCTCCATCTCCGTAATTTCTGACTAAAGACAGATGCTGCCTCCCAAAAATTCCTCCTCTTGTTCTGCAATTCCATATCGATATACTCTTTCATCGTCTTCCGATCGCCCTCTTCTTCACTAATTTCATCGTCATCGACTTCATTTCGCACAAGGACATCATCCGAAACCCTAATTTCATCGTCGTCGTCGTCAAGTTCTTCTTCTCCCTCATCTTCCTTCATCTCCAACACCGGCTCTGCAATGCTCGAGAACCCTAAATTCTTCGATTCAACCCTCACAGCCCCATTTCCTAGTTTCCTCGTATCATCAACGACGAACAGATCCGAGAGGGAACTACGACTCCTTACATCACACGACTTTCTCCGCGGATCCGTAGCCAAAGCATTCAGAACCTCGCCTTTCTCGGCAGCAACAGACTTGCTCCGTCGCAGTTCCGGCACAGCCGCGGATGAAGAAGCAACCCCGTGGCCTCTGGTCCGGCGGCTACTTACAACAACCTTCTCAACTTCAACTTGACCAGAAGAAGAATCTAAACCGGCGAGACGGTCTCGTAGACACAATGCACAGAAGCCCGTGACGGGTTCGCTAGGATGCCGGTGACAAGCGGAGAGACGGCGAGGGCGAGTACGGCTTTTGGTAGCGGTACGGACTTGGGGATCCGGCATCATCGGCAGAAGCGTTGGTGTGTAACGGCTGAGAAATGGATCATAATTAAGGGTTTTCTGTAAGAAATCGATTTAGGGTAACTGCAGTAATTTGTACCATGTACTGTGAGTGAACATATGAGAGAGAGAGCGAGAGAGGGAGAGAGAGAAAGGGATGATGACAAAAGGGGATCTGAAGTGTTAGCAGAGAAACCCTTCATAAACCCCACCCGCCATGGAAGAACATGATAACTTTTTCTTCATGATGTGGTTTAATATTTGTTTGATTAAGTTTCAAAATTGCACCCCCCAACTTCTTTTTATTGTAATTTTGCCACATAACTTCAGATAGATTACAAAATAATTATCGTAATATAAAATTAAATTAATTGTCGTTACAAAATACTAACAGGTGTTTATTAAGAGGTATTAACCAATAATTAATAAAATAGAAAAAAAATTGTTTGGTGTCGATGGACACATTCTCCCAACTATCTGAAGTTTTGTTTCAGGTTAAAATAGTGGAAATAAAAACTAATTCCCTGTAATTTTTATTTTCAATTTTTTTATTAATCTGGATATCCAATCCGTTAAGCGAGCCGATTAATCTTAAAGCAACCACCTGCTTTGCAGGTAGCCTAGAGTCGCCGCATTTGAACCTCCGAGGCTACAAGGGGATTTTTGTTCCTTCTTGGATTTGAATCTGGGACCTCCAGACACTTTTGATCTTTGGAGTCAAGCTCAAACCAATCAGACATCACCCTTGTGGTTTATTTTCATTTTTATGTTTGAACCAAACAACCTTTAAGAAACTAGATCCAATTTTAATGATTTACAGTCAAGAATTTTGTGTTTCATGTTATCAACTAGCAAAACTCAAATTTAAGCTTCGAAATATAATACTGTAGTGTTTCGGTTTCATGATGACAATACCTTGTGGCTATTGATTACCAACAACCTTAACCGGCTTCATACGACACCCGTCTCCAAAGACGCCTATGTGATGGGGCATTTTTGGGAATCACTTAACGGCTAAAGCTAGCAGGAAAACCCGAGTACAAATCCGGGCCTTGTCTTATATCTGGACAAAGTCGAAAATAATCATAAAAGAAATTCAACTAGGACAATGGAGTGATGATAGGAGACACATGAGCTATACATACATCCTCTTATTTGTAGTGGGAATCCATCATAACATTAACCCGTGTAAGAAAATGTTGATTTGTAATAGCATTTTAATGGATTCTTTAAAAAAATCAAAATAGATAAAATTAAAATTTAAAATCTAAGGAAATATATTATATTTAACTTCAACAGACTTTGTATTTTAGAAAATAAATATTTAACATATTTAATAAAATAATATTTTTTTCATTTAATATTTAATTTCAAGGTTTTTAATTGGTGGAATATAATTATAAAAAAATCTCTCGTGATAATATTTTTTGGAAAATTCTCCAAATTTGGAAATTTTTATATTTTCTCTCTTACTTTTTCCATTTTCGATAAAGGTATCCCAGAATTTGTTGAATTAAATGAAATTGTTCAAAATCTCCATTCCTTTATCTTAAATATCATAATGGATGTAACGGCAAAAGCAAAACAAAGATGAAAGTTTTATTAAAATTCGAAATCTTAAAAAAATAAATTATATTCAACTTTAACAGTTTCTTTCTTTTAGAGAATAAAATATTCAATATATTTAATAAAATAATATTTTTTTTACTAAATATTTAATTTCAAAATCTTTCTTGATAATCATTTTTGAAAAGTTCTCAAAATTTAAAAAAAAAAATTATAGTTTCTCTCCTACTTTTTCTATTTTCGATAAAGGTTTTCGAGAATTTGTTGAATTAAAAAAAATATTTGTTCAAAATCTCAATTCTTTTATCTTAGACTATCTATTGGAGATTTTTTAAGTATTAATGTCAGAATGGATGTAACGAAAAAAGCGAAACAAAGATGAAAATTTTATAAGAGCATCTCCAATTAAAGTTCTTATAAAAACCTATTTTTTATACTTCTTTTATTAACCTGGATATTCAACCCGCTATACAAGCCGACTAATCTCATGGCGACCACCTGTTTTGCAGATAGTCCGGAGTCACCGCATTTGAACATTTGTGATCACAAAAGGATTTTAATTCCTCCTTGAATTTTAACATGAGGCCTCCTACTACTTTTGACATTTGGAGTCAAACTCAAACCAATCAGACACCACACTTGTGGTTTATTTTTATATTTTTATACTTTTTTGTCATATCATTTCCAACTCACTAAATTAAGAACCTAAATAAAAATAAAGTCCACGATAGTAGTTCTTATAAGAACTTTTTATGGGGACCATGTATTTTTCAACATCAATAAATAATTATAAAATCAATTATATATATATATATATATATATATAAAAGGTAAAAAAAAACCAACAAAAAGTCACAAAATCAAGCTTTTTATACAAGAACTTTCTCCAATAATGGTTCTTCTAAAAACCTACACTTTTTGTTTATAAGAACTTCTCAACAAAAATACTCTAGATAAAAAAGTAGGGGTGTAAAATACATTAATATGGAAAGTAAAGGGGGTAAATGTGTAAAATCCATCAATGTGGAAAGTAAAGGGGTTAAATATGAAAATAGAGATCTGGAAATGTTACTCCGGTGGTAGAAGTGACCGCGGGCAGCGGACAGGATGCACGTGCAATCTGCCCAAACATAGAAAAGCGTGCGTAAACATTGCCCGAAATACGATGCCTCGTGTAACCTCATTTATCGGGACTTTGGATACTCCCATAAACAAGCTATAAAGTATCTTCTCCAAACAAATCACTACATACAAACATATAACTCCTATTTTTTATAACATACACATGACTTATTTGTTGGAAAATAGACGTTTCATCTAAAATATTGTTCGATAGTTGTTGAATGATTTGTTATATAATGATTAAGAGGCTCTTATGATATAATGTAAAATAAAATATAATTGTTTACAATAAGATTAGGGATCTTACTTTTAATGGTTAACGGAGGCCCAGGAAGAGGGTTTCAGATGTTGTCTCTTAATAAAACTATTAAGAGATAAACAAATAACCCCTAAATGTCTATCGGTAAGAGGTAACATCCTTATTTATTTTATCTAGATAAAATTGTAGTCTATTAAAATGATATTATATATAAAAGTGGAGCTAGAACATTTTTAAGTGGTAACATAATTTGACTATAAAAAACAAATATATGAATATTTTTTATAAAATTATCATTGTTCTGTTGGTTGGTACATTGATTTTCATATGTGAGGTTATATGTCCAACTCTTCTATTACAAAAAATTTCAAAAATATAAGGGAAATTTGTGTTACTTTCAAAGTATATAACAACACACGACTAATTGATATGGAGACACCTTTCACGACCCTATAATTTTCCATTATAACGGAGGAATGTAAAGATGGCTCGTGTCATTGTATCCAATAGAGTGGATCCGTCCTTGATCTTATGTAATAAATTCTCCGGTAAGCAGGTAATCGTCTTCACACTCGCTTACCTGGTAAAACTCTCGGCATTTGTTGTCGCTCTTACCGAGTAAAAAATTATCAGTCTTTACCATGTTCATCTGGTAAACGCTTACCGGATAAGCGTTTGATAAACGACACCTTATGAGTCATTTGGTTCGTAAAATGAAATTTGGTGAAATTTGAATCAATCAAAGGCATTTGATTTTGAAGGAACTAGAGAGAAATTGATAGAGTTTGACCACATGTTAAGTTGATAGAAATTTGAATGAAATCTTTTAAAAGAATTTAAATCTCTCTGTCTGCTTGGTAGAATATAACTTCGAATGACGGTTGTAACTAACGGTGGATCCACGATTTTTGCCAAATTAGTGTACCTTTAAGATGGATCAAATGTCCATAAAGGTTAAGGCGTTTAATGTATATTTAGCATTATGCAGGCAGACGGGTTTAACAAGAAAAGTGAATAGGGAGCAGAAAACATCACAGAGAAGTTGTTTTTACCTTAAAACATCCTAAAGATTATATATAGGGTTTTCGGAGGGGTCGGTAGCCAAAATCAAACCCGATCTGAATCCAAATACCCCCCTAAAGTCAATTTTCAGATTTTCGCATTTCAGAACATTCTGGTTTTACACAAACACTTCGTTTTGGCTTAGTTTTTCGAACCATTCGGGATTTACACATCGATGATTAAAAAAACCATTAACCATATTTTGTATTTATTAAAAAATGTTTTTTTTTTTGAAGGACTTGCATACTTTTGAAATGTGTGAATATGAAGCATATTTGTAGTAGTTGGGACAACATGAAGCATAGATATCACATAAAATGGGTTGAAATTTAAAAAAGAAATTCCACATTTTTGTAATGAGTTGTCAACCATTATATTAATTTATTATTTTATAAAAACAATATAAATATAAATATAAATAGTAAATTATATTATTTTAGATGTCACTGATTTCAATACTGGAGTGGAGATGAAAGTCTATGGAATTAAAATTCTCTAAAAATTACTAAAAGACAAAAACATATTTATTTATTTGTCGTTCTGACTTAAAAAAAGGATCGAGAAATTCATTTATTAAGGGGTCGTTTACTAAACACTTATTTGGTAAGTGTTTACTGGATAAATTTTCTTGTCGGATGAACATGAGAAGAGCCAATAATCTTACCAGGTAAGAGCGATGGGAATAATGGAGAGTCTTACCCGATAAGTGAGGATGACGACTCTTACTCAGATAAACGCTTACCTAGAATTTGGGAGTGTCCTATAAAACCGATTGTGTTGTAGTGTTGGCTCAAGAAAGTGTATTCTCGTTCGACTCGACTCGGCTCAATTTAAAAAGTTCGGCTCGTTAAGTTAAACGAGTTTGTGTTGTGTTTGAGATCAATTCGAGCTCAAGGGTTATTAAACCCTGAGTCAACATATTTATATTTATTAGATCCATTATCTTCTTATAATTATATCAATTATAAAGCTGGTCCATTATTTGTTGTTAGAGAGAGGGACCAAATTCAATTGTTTCTAGAAATTGCGGTGGTCATCTTATAATTTCAAAATTATAGGAAGAAAAGGTGTAATAATCACAAACCACAGGGACCAAATTTGTAGCTTACTCTTATACAAAAGTGTTTATGAGGGGGGATGG